AAATATTTTTTTTCTCAGGTGCTCCCTGTTTGAGGGCGTAATCACCTGGGTCAGAGGTGAGACCAACATGTGGTCTTTTGTTTACTACTTAGCGGCTGTGTACCTGTGGGTTTATTCCGTGTGTATTTGGATGTTCTAATCTTGGTGTTTTGCCAGTGATTTCTCTTGGTGCAATCCAAATACAGTAGGTGTGTCTTGTTTACCTGAGATTTGCAAGAGTTTGAGCTGGCCAACATGTTAGTTATTTTCATATGGTTGATTACTGGCATATTGATTTCCAATTTTTGAGCCATATTTTCAACTTTCTTCGTCATTTTCATATAAGCAATCTCGTCATATTTTAACATTGTCGTCTATGGAAATTCAATTAGTGGTATGAGCCCTATACTACTAGACTTCATTGTCTGGTGATGTTCAGGGTTCACATAAAAGTAGGTTACATCTGTTGGTATGTTCTATTGAACTGAATAAATTATCCTGACCAGACATTTGTGAAGAGCTATGACTGCATAGTATGATATTGAGTTTCTTGTCACTGATGGGCTTCTGACAGACATCTATTGTATGCATACATACATTAGTACAATAGTCACATGTATGCAATAGACAATAAGATTTGTGATCAACTACAGTAACTTCAGTCACAATAGCAGCATATTTATTCCATGAGTGAGTTAATGTGTTTTTGGGGGGTGGGAAGGGCTGTTTAATCAGCATCATAATTTTTTTTGTTTTTTACAATTTGTTGCATTCATTCTAAAGTACACACACCATGTCAACCACAAAGTTGTTAAATGAACAACCAAATTTTCATTTGGCCCCTGAATTGTCTTGAAATTCATAGACTTCAGACTTTGTGCATAGGTGATACATTGCATGTGATTTAAATTTACATTTGATAAAATATTCTGAGTCAGTCAAACGAATTATAGACATTTCAAGGTTTTTGAAGACAATGATTCAACCATTGATGAATTTTAACTTGCTTATTGTTTTTGATACCCGTCCCTTTCTAGAAATATGACATATAGATGTACCAGTATTATATTAACGTTAAGTTTTAGAGATGCAGTTTATTTTGACAAATTTTACTTTTTTTTTTATTTTTTATGGCATTGTATGAACATCTGTATTCTGGGAAAATTTGAAAATAAAATCATTAGTGGAATTCCAATGGCGATGTAAATCAGCATTTATTTTTACTTAAGTATAAAATATGCAAATTAGCAATTATCTTAGCTTTATTTTAGTGCACATCCCAGAACTTTAAAAAAAAATAGCTCCTAGACGGTTTTTGAAATTTTCACAAATGATTGATAATGTGTTTATCTTCAAAACGCCGTCGGGCATTGTTTTTAGTTGAACAGTGTTACAACAATCGTACAGCCAACTAACCTGGATGTTAATTTTGCATAAACTTAAATTAGTGAAATTTGAGCTGCTGCCCAGCAAAATTGACGACTGGTAGACAGTTTTCAAGACGGCACTTTCTTCATAGTAAACAGATGTACCCGTAAACCAATTTTGACAGGAAACAGAGGCTTGGTTTAGAAGCTGATTTTGTTTAAATCACTTTTGACCAAAAAAACCACATTTTTGTGCATTTTTCAAACTACAGTGTCCATAAAAAAAAATACTTACACAATTTTAAAATTCATACAATAAGCTTTTCGAAAATATATAGTTTTGTGAACAAGGGAGGTCATCTTGGTTGCCTAATTAACTAATTAAAATACCTGTCAGGTAAACTGCATCTCTACCTTAAGTTAATTGAAATGGTTGTACTTAGAAGATTATCTTTTATTGTTTTTATTATTTTGTTGTTGTTGTGAGTAATCAGCAATCCTGTGCAGTTTTGTCATCTGTTTGTCCTGTAAGCGGTCTTTGTTTTATGTAAGCAATACATTTTGTACTTGTACTTGTACTTGATGACTAACCTGCCTTTTCAAATTAGGAATGAATGAAAGAAAGCACATTCTCCTAATGTCAACAGAATACCTTGATTGACTGTAATCAGTGTAATAGTTTGACATCAGTGACATGTCTTACCACAAAGTGTAATTACAGTAAGGATTGGTATTTCCATCCTTTCCTGCTGAGTTCACTTGTATTTACATTCCATTTGCTTTTTTCGTCTGTCGTTTCTGTATAACTGATTCTGTTCGGAGTCGAATGATATTCCTCCTCACAAGTCAGTGACCTCTTATTTTAAGTGTGTCAACAAGTTGTCAACAGTAATGGTAACCAGAGTCTAATTTCCACCTCATTAAATATGTTTTCACAGGGGAGTTCCTTCTAAAATAACTTTCAGCTGTGGTTTTGGGCTGCAGGGTGTCATTTGTGTGGAATGTCTGCTGGTGTGCACAGTTACTGACACCAAAACACTGAATATAACACTGTCTGCTGGTGTGCACAGTTACTGACACCAAAACACTGAATACAACACTGTCTGCTGGTGTGCACAGTTACTGACACCAAAACACTGAATACAACACTGTCTGCTGGTGTGCACAGTTACTGACATCAGAACACTGAACACAACACTGTCTGCTGGTGTGTGTAGTTACTGACACCAAAACACTGAATACAACACTGTCTGCTGGTTT